CTTTTTCGACATAATCCGCTGTATTCAATATAACCGTCACGCGTTCCTTGTTCACAGGTAAAGTGACAATAGATTCATCGGCTTTCAAGGCTTTATTGCATCGCTTTCCTGTTGTGATAGAGAATTGTGCTGTTTGTTACGTGTTTCTGCGTATAATCGTCAAACCCGCTGGACTGGATTGCACTTTCGAATGCGGACAGTAAATCTGTAGCCATAGCATCCTTGAAATCGTAGTTAAGCCCTTTCGCGAGGACTTGTTTTTCTGCAACGGATAGTGGTCTATTGGATAGATTTCGGATCCAGTTCGCTTGATTAGCTTCGCTATTGTCGTGAGACAATTTCAAATACTTGTTCTCTAATGCCTCCTGTTTTCTCCTCCTAGTATTCTCCACTCTAGGTTCCATTGCTAAGCTGAGCTGCTCTGTTAACTGCTGTTCCATAATTCTCAGATAACTAATTCGATGGTCGCTGATGCATCGCTCATATTTCCTGATACGGCTGTGGACGTCCGTGATCATCATCCACACCATATGTTTCCCAAATTGTGCAACTGTCCATGCCAGTGGATGGTTAATCGAAGGTCTGAGCGCGAAACGTTCTGAAGTGCTCGCCGCAGGGAGGATTTTGACGCAGACATGCGTCCACACGACAGCAACTGACTTTTCTTCATGATTGCTTACGCAATGATGCGCACTCCTGCAGCGTCAACTAGAGGCGAAGCACTCGACAGAGATACAAGTCGAGATGGACTCAGTTTACGAAACGCTCAGACGGAGAGAATTAAAATAGCTTAAAAACCGCGTGGGCAACTTAACGAGCCGTCAACAAGCCAGCCGCAACAGCCGGGGCAAAACTATCTCACGGATCGTCTGTGTCTATCAAAGAAGTTGGTCAGGCGGATGGTCACGGGGCACAGATCGAGGAGGTCAATTCAAAAGTCACTTGCTAATCGATCACAACTCGATCACCAAGCCAGCGGAGTACATTTGACTTAGCAACTCACTGAGGAAGTCACCTCGTTTGGTGATGAAACATTTGCATACCAATTGCGAAGCTCGGCGCACAGGTAAACTCAGGGACGATCAACCAGGGCTATCAGTGCATCAAAGGGTAAACAGTATTGTCGAGATTCTAAGGGTCTGAGGAAAAACCGAGTTTTACGGAAAACTGGTTGGTACCAATAAAAGCCGATAGAAACCATCGGTTACATAGGTGAGGATAAGGAACAGTTACAGCCAAACCTGAATGCTGAACGGTCAAATCAGCGGCTCAAAATCTAGCTTAGCTGATGCAATTTGCGGAGAATGCGGCGGATGCACAGTAACCAATAAAAGGCATGACGAATGACCTTTGGAAACGATTCAAATGCCTGTCACAATGCTATTTCCGATGTAGTACAGACCATGCCTTTCATTGAGTAGTGATGTCGTGCGGACAGAGGTAGAACATAATTGCGTTCAATTCACAGGTCAGCAAGAGGTAAGGAACACTAACTGTTGTGCTCCGTTACAAGCTAATTAGATGAGGTAAAAAATAAACAAAACAAATCATATTAAGCTTTGCTCAGATAATGTGGCGAGAATGGAAGCCCACTTGGAAGGATAGCAAAACGGGGAGGACAGGAGAGGAAGTAACCTACAGCACAAACGCCATTTAAGCACGTGGGACCTTTAAACCGGCTACACATTATTTTTATGTTAACTACGCTCGATATATCAGTTTTGCAAGAGACTCTTCTTCAAACAATTTCCAAGGCTACCGAGACACTCTTACCCTATCCACTTTTTGAAAACAACAGTTGAGATACTGTGTACTATCACGATTTATTGCTTTTGGACTGGAATAATTACGTCAGCTGAAACCAGTTATTAGGAAAATGTTTAATAAAGCGTTGCACTGTTGTCTGGATTCAAATGACAAAGATTCTGTTCAGCATTGAGCAATCGTTGCTCTGAAAAGCCGAGTAGTGACAGCGCATCCAGCTATTGTTGTCTACCCATTGGTGAAATCTTCCATTTTTCATGGTGCAAATGTAGTACCTCTGCAGTTGGTAATGTAAAATGCTGAAAAAGCACCCAGTTGAGCACATAAAGCTTACTTCGAGTCCCACTGACTTAAACAATACTCCTCAGTCAAAGCTATTCAACATTTAAGTGACACCAAATCAAGAATCAAGGGCATTAAAAGGAAGGAAGTTCAGACTGAGAGCTATCATTCATCATGACCAAGCCACCAGTTCGCCTCCTCGCTTCTTCGACACTCCATACCCCGGTCATGCAAAACAACGGCCGCAGGGGCAGTCGTTCTGATAAGCCATCGAAGCCCGATTCGTGAAAGAACCGTGCTGAGTAATTCACTTACATTTTTGAGCCATAAGCTCAGTTCAGTTGATCAACTACGACCCGAGCATCGAAGTGCCGACAAAATAACAATACATAACAGCGGCGAGATAATGGGGTTAAAAGCAAATAGAACGCAAAAAAATATAAGCAAGAAGGAAGTGCGTCAAACTTATGTGCATGAAGCAAAGATTAACAAGCAGATGTAAGAAACCAAATGCAGGAAGGCCACTGACTGCGCAATCGCATCACGTCCGATACGATCTCTAACAGCGTGCACCATCCCGAGCCCCTCAACTAGGAAGGCGGCACGCACCAGTCTGACAAAGTCACGCAGACAATTTCTATATGCACCGACTGGTTGCCTCATGGTTTGCCACACTTGGTGCGGTGACGGAGTATCATGCACGCCGAGGAAGTCGACCAACTGGCATATGGAGGACATGGCGTAGTCAACGCAAGCGACCAAGAGTTAGCAAACACTCCAGTGAGGCAACAGAAGGCTTTTTGTCAAAAAGCAACTAGCGAGCCTCAACAATGTTCACCAGGTGCTCCCAAGTGAGCAATGCTCTTTAAGCACCGGTGGTCAAAGACGGCCATGAGTTTAATATCTTCGCCGCGAACTGATTAAGTCTTTGATTCATACAGTAACACAGGACTTAGCGCAGCGTTATACAGCCCAACTTCCGTTGACAGTCTGATATCCCGCCAACTCTATAGATGGTTTAGTCTCTGGACAGTCATATGTGCTTTGCTGGTACGCGAAGTAACTTCCACAGTGATGTGACCAACAGAGGCTACATACCTACCAAGGTAACTGAACTGATCCAACACTTCCAGTGGTTGTTCGGTGATAGCTAGAACCGGACGTTTATCGGTCCAGTCCTGCATCAGTACTTTGCACATTGAGTTTGCAAAGCACATGCCGAATCGTGCGACGCCACGCATCAGTATATCCGACAGTGTTTGCATAGGCACTGCATCAGACCAAAGGAGAACTATGTCGTCCGCATACTCCAGGTTTGTCAGTCTGTCGCCTAACAGAACTTCCACTCCGGTAGTGTCTGAAAGAATGGAGTCACTCATTTCGATAACAAAGTTGAAGAGGAAAAGGGAGATAGGACAACCCAAGCGAACCCACTTGTCGCTGGGAACTCAGGACACTTTCCGTAGACCTTTCGTGGCGTCGGGAGCCTAACGGAAAGAAATTTAGGCGTCACAAGTTGGCGTGGTCAACAGAGTCGAAGGCAGCTTTCAAATCAAGGAAAACCACCGTTGTCGGTCGTCTGCATGTGTCTCTGCCATAGCACTTAGCGAAGAGTAAATACGTGGTCGATACAACCAGGAGTACGACGGAAGTCAGCCTGGCTTTCAGTGACTCAGTTCTCAAGGAAACCAGTAAGTCGTGGTAGAATGACAATAGTGAGAGCTCTAGAGGCAACTGAAACAAGGCTAAAGGCTCCAGGATTATCGCATAAAGTGGGTTGGCTTTCTTGAAGATGGGCATGACAGTTGACAGTCGCCAGTCTGAAGTCACCTCTTTAGTGTTGCAAATCATGCTGAATAGAGAAGCGAGTCAAGTCAACAAAGAGTCACCAACATCCTACAGCAAAGATGGAAGGTCGCCGGGTCCAAGAGCATTGATTCGATTCAACACCGATAGCTCATGTGGAATTACTTCTAAAGTGGGAGATGCAACATCCAGTTCCCAAGTCGGCTCAGGTGATTCGGAAAACTACAGTGTTGCAGCACGCCTGTTGAAAAGCTCATGAAAAATTTCCGCCTAACTGACTAGTGAATGAGGCTGAGAATGAATCAAAAGTCCAACTTCCGCAGCTCCTGTCTCGCTTGATAGGATCCGTGTTCCGGATGCGCTGGAATAGCGCCGTTAACGAGACGCCGAACGCGCGCTCACGCGGTGTTAACACCAGCGAAGACGGTGATGATGAAACATGATAATCCTCTTTAGGTATGTCGATATGATGGGCCAGGTTTCACATCCGTACTGAAGAGTTGAGAGAACGGCCGTATGGTATACGCCATTGTACAGGGCAAAAGTGATGTTGCACAGGCTACATAGTGGGCAAAGATAAGCAAAAGCGCCTCAAAATCATGCTATTCCACAGACACCGAAATCGCTGCCGAGACAATTGAATTTATGGACGACGTCTAGTGGATCACTAACGTAGGTGTAGATCCCTGCCAAGCTTGGAAAAGGACTTGCATTTGAAAAGTGTAAAGTATAGCCTGAAACAACTGATTATCAGAGCTAATCTGACCATTGCTACTTGGCACTTTGTGAGCTGTCATAAATGAGGGTAATGATGCCGTATTCCAAAATGAAAGAGGTCGATCATATGGAAACAGCTACACCACTTCATGTGTAAGAATGTGACTGAGGGTACTATAAACACTGACGTAACGTGAAGCTGTGCTACTGTGATCGGTTTGTTCTTCGGAAAGTCGCTTTTCATGGGGAGGAGTGAGAGTTCGAAGAATGATAGAAGCAGGAAACGTAGAGGCGATAGATATCAAGTTGCTACCTTTGCGCTCGATGGACTGCGAGCGTGGAGTTGAAAATAAACTAAGGGAATCCCAAATGGCAAAGCTCCATATGGAGAATAAAATAAAAGTACTATAAGAACAGATGGATTGACTTACCTTTGATGTCGCCGGTACAACCTGCCCACGCAACACCACCGCCAAATGAAGTGTGAAGTTAAGGTGTTGCCAGGAAAACAAATTCATGCAGTCGTTCATCAGTGTGGACGCAGATGCAGACGAAGCACTGTCCATCAAAGGAGGTAGAAAAGAAATCGCTGGATCCGACATGAACGCTTCAAACGTCAGCTGTGTGAGATCGATGCGCAAAGACGGAGGATCATCCAACATGTACGTATAGAACCATCTGGAATCGTTGTTCGGTGCTGGCCTTGGTTTGAAAGTTACTGCACTGCTGATATCATGCCATACTATTGTCTCAGCGAATACGTGATCATTTGATGAAAACCACCTGCAGAACAATAATAGTGATAATAATCATAATAATAATAATAAGCATAAGGACTATGGAATGAGACGGAAACCGTATTTCATGCAGGTCCAGCCAATACAAATGAAATAACAGTTGCTGTTAGCTGAATTTCATAGTGGATTGTTTATCAATGAGTAGGTGAGAAACGATGTCATACAAGGGGCCAAATTTAGTGTCAAATGAAAAAATCCTCGAAACAATGAATTATGTTTTGTGCCCTAAGGTTGAGAGTGGCTGCGCGCCATTTAATGAAAGCACCCCAGTGGTACCAACCTGCCTATCCACTGTTTCACAATGAAGCAACTGCTCTCCAACATTTGCATGAAGTGGCTAACAGAAGCAAATTCGACAGAATCACAGTACGCACTTGGCCGACACGGTTTCCACTTTTCCTTCCTTCGACGACGGAGTTATGGAAGAGCCGGCGGTAGAGTAAATTACGTCTATTACGAGAGGGGCACGTGTCACAAGCTTCGTGACGTTGTGGTCCAAGGGCTCCTCAATGGACAAACGTATGAAGAGTGGAACTTTTTGCACCCGTAAGTGAATGACGGGGTTATGTTCTAATGAAAGGTGACACTCGCTTTTCGGAAGCAAGACGACGGGATGGGGGACGTCGAAAACGAAGCAGGTGCTGTGCGCTTTAAATTCGTAGACAACATCTGTCTGGGGTAGGCAGATCTATATAATGGGATGCAGAAGACGTTATAGGGTATTGTCAAAAGATCGGTACGTAAATACAAAAGGCAAATCAGGAAATGCATTCGACTGAAGGTATATGTTGGGGTTGGACGAAGCGTGTATTGTGATGTGTCCGTTCGGGAAAGCACATGAATATAGGCACTAAGACCTTGTGATGGCTGATGCACCAACTTCAAGTGCACACGCGCCGCATGTTCAGTCACAAGGCAAGAAAATATGCAATTCGCGCTGGCTGTGTAGACGCTGGTGCAGTTGGGAAAGGAGGGTCAAGAGTTCTAACGCACAAATAGTTCGGTGCCTAACATACGGTAGAGCCACAATGAACAAGCGCTTATTCAAACATGATATAACCAGGATCGTTAAGCGCAATTTCATAACTACGTACAAAGACACGCCATAGCCACAATTACTTAAACATGAGAGGAGAAAGGTCAAGGGTATCGAGTTGCAAAGCAAAAACATACGAGTTAAACGGAGAAAAACGAATAATGAGTACATTGAAAATAAAATGAAGGTAAACGCATTAAAGCTACTATGAACTTTAGTCCAGTTCAGCTAATCAAAAATGATTCGTGTGCAGAGGTTGGATGGGTCGAGGTACACTGATCGACGTCGACTAAAAAAATAACAATAGTAACAGTTCAAGAAGAGTGCCTGAAAGGTAATATCATGACATGAAATGGTAGGGTCAAAAACTGGGGAACTTATACAGTAGCGCCACTGACATCGTGACTGCGACATTACAATAAGGCATACAACTACTCAAGTGGCCGGTTCCGGGGATGCCACGAAGAAAGACAAGCATCAGCACAACATAGCCTTTCAGAGCGTTTGTTCATGCTCCTCTGCCGCGTCATAAAATGACCACATTATGTTCTCAACTGGGCAGATGTAAAAAATTACAACCTGCAAAAAAAGTTCGCTGCTGTTTAACAGCAATGATCCGAGAACCCACGTGCAGTGGACCCAGTTGAAACGAGTAATGATGCCAGAATAAAAATAAATAAAAACGGCAAAAGGAGGTTGAACACAAACAGAATACAAAGATAAATGGAATCAAGACAGGAGTGTATGAAACGAAACGAAATGGAGGGAAAATTAACAAAAAGAGGAAAGAAACCGAATGAAGGAACGCCACTAACTGCGAGACCGCGTCAAGTTCGACAGTCTTGAACCACCGGTGTGAACCATCAAGCGGCCCCCATCCACAAAGACGGCATGCACCAGCCTGACCAAATCTCTCGGTCAGTTTCCCCATGACATGTCACCGGTTGACTACCTCATGGTTTCGTCCAAATTTGTGAAGGCGCGGCTTATAACGCACATCCAGGAAAACGGCCAAAGGACAGAAGGAGGATAAAACCTAGCCATCGTAAGTGATTAAAATTTAGAAAAACTTGAGTGACGCACCAGAAGGTTTCTTGCTAAAACCGAATGACACCTCAGCATTGCTTACCCGACGTTCCATGGTTTTCGATGGTGCAATGTCTATTCATAGACTGTTGCAAAATAAAAATTACCCGACGTTCCCACTAGATGTGAGCAATAATCCGTAAGCACTGGTGGTTAAATATGGCCAAGCGTTTAATGTATTCACTACAAACTGGCTAGGTCTCTTACCTATACAGTAACACCGGCCTTATCGCAGCCTTGTACACCCTAACTTTCACTGACAGGCTGATATCCCTACGGCGCCACAGATGGTTGAGTCTCTAGAAAACAACACGGGTCTTGTTGACACGAAGTAACTTCCACAGTGATGCATGTACCAGACATGAAACTGATACCTAGGTAAGTGAATCGGTCCACCCTTCCAGTGGTTGGTCGGCGATATCTAGAACCGGAGGAGTGTCGGTTCTGTCCTGCAACGACAGCTTACAGTTTAAAGGTGCAAAGACCATGCAGAAGCGCGCGGCGCTACGTGTCAGTCTATCCAGAAGTGTTTGCATACCCACTGTAGCAGAACCAAGAAGAGCTATATCGTCCGCATACTCCAAGTTTGTCAGTCGGTATCTGGGCGGAACTTTCACCGGTAGAGTCTGAACGAACCGAGCTATTCATGATTATTTCGATCATAAAGTTGAAGAAGAAAGAGGATATAGGACAACCGTGGCAACCCCCACTTGTCGTGGGGAACTCAAGAGACAGTATGCTGTAGACGTTCACTTGATCTCGGGAATCACGGTAGAAAAACTTAAAGATTGAAAGCGGTTTTTCAGGTATCCACTTTACTCATATATAATGTACAAACTGGCATGATCAATAAATTTTAAGGCGGCTTTCAGGACAAGGGAAATCACCGTAGTCGGTCGTCTGATGAAGAGTATATATGTGGTCGATGCAACTACGATCAAGGAGGAAGCCAGCCTGGATTTCAGTGATTCGGTTCTCAGAGACCAGTAAGTCATCGAAAAATAATAACTGCGAGAAGCCTGGAGGCGACGTAAATAAGTAATGCCTCGATGATTTTTGCAAAACGTCCGTTGACCCACTTCGAAGATGTGTACGACAGTTGACAGTCACCGGAGTGAAAATATTTCTTCAGTGTCCTAAACCCTGTAAAAATGATCGAGTCCAGTAAAGAAACAGCCACCTCTACGTTTAATTAATGATGGTGCAAAGTACCCGGAGCCGTGAGCCTTCTTTCGTTTCAACACAAAAAGCTCGTGTCGAACATCTTCCAAAGTGGGGAGGTGTGACATCAACTTTCCACGTAGGCTTAGGTGATTAAGCAAGAGGCAGAGCCGCAGCTTGACGGGTTAGTTGACGCAGATCAAATTTCCATCTATCTCAGCTAGTGTTTCGCTGACTGATGGTTTTCTCGGACCCGTGTTTCGGATGAGATGGTACAGCACTCGGATGTTCTGAATCACATGGTCCCTTGCCACTCACTGACATTCCGAGTCCATTCGAAGACTCCTTGTCAGAGGTCATTTCAGGGAGTTACGGATATGCTGAAATTATGTGCCCATCGGAATCTGTTTTCTTGCTTCGATCAAGCTGATCGATGCCACAGAGATCCGGTTACAGTTACGAGGTCTCAAGTTGCGTGCACAGCATGCGTCAAAGGCACTCTTCATGGTACACTTTAGAAGATCCCAGTCAGTTTTCGGTTCACGAACCTCCTTCATCATTGACAATTGGTGGGCTGGTTGGTCAAGTCAAAAGTGAAAACTTGGGCGCTTCATCGAAGCGTGGAGTGTCCGCGCACTAGAGCATGGTCAGAATCCAGGCACGTGTTCTAAATTGACCGGCAGATTGATGTACCCTATCTGCAGCTGATGACAGTATGGCGAATTTGGGTCCAAATCATTGAAAAATTCGGTGGGCGATAGGTGACGCGATATGATTGTTTGAGTTGAAAAGCAGTACTGTTAAGGTAAAGGTTGTGGTCTACACACAGTTGCAGGAATAGATCATCATTGTCAGTTCGGCATGCATCGACTTCGAAGTGGCCTTTCAGGTGCTGTCCAGCGTCTGAAAAACGACCTACTTGGGCAATCATGTTACGAGCAACAATCATGACGCCCGTATTCCTCGCCATCTGAAGAAGAGATGAGACCTGTTGATAGAAATCGTATTTGACACCCTATGAACTGCATTCAGTAGGGGCATAAACTGAGCTGATGAAAATGCACCTTGTCTTCAGACGGGGCTTATTAACTCCAATAGAGGTTGGAAGCCGAAGCGCATATATGCGGCTGCTCACCGGTATCCACTCTAGTGGATTACCTACAGCATGTTTGCTAAGGACAATACCTTAAATATCTGGAGCCATTGACTCCGTATCGTCAGAGAGGCGAAGGGTGTTGTCATTGTCAGAAGAATCAGAACCAGGGAATGAAGATTTGTCACGAAGCTGTTATCTTGTATGCGTGTTTCAGAGACAGCACACATCAATACCAAGAGAATGGATAATAAAATTTAGTGCTACCTGTTAGCCGATTTGATTCAGAGTGCAGACGTTAAAAGAACCAATGAAAATGAAACTCAAGATTTGATGGAAGAGCTACATGTAGCGATGGTAGCAGCTGCGAGATCAGTGGCAGTCTCTCGCCCAATAAACCGGAAGAAGTGTGGAGAGAGACACGCAAGAAGAGGGTGTATTTTCGACGTGGTGGAGGTCAGATGATACTCTCCGGCTGACCATTCCGAGAGGAATCTTGTTCGAGGTGCCCAACCTCTAGACTTTGACTGAACAGTCTGACCCACAAGGCAGTGGGGAATTTTGATTTTCGCTTGAGGGATACCATCCGGAGCCTTCGGCTGAATCGCAAGTGCGGCTCTGGAGTGCGACTGCAGAGGCCCATTGGGATCTGGTTGAGGCCTGTCACAAACAGAATTTGAAGATTTGGAACAAGTCACATGTGCTTTACAACCGTAGCACGTTACACTTCTGCGATCACGGTCACCCGCAGGTGGCAGTTGGCGGGTTTGCACCTGGTTTGAGAAAGGGGGTTGGAAGCCACTGAGCACCGGAATGTGCCCTCCTACCGTCAGAGACAGTGCGTGGCGCTCGTGCTATACGCCAATCGAGCTGTGATCTTATAACCATCGACCTCTGCCTAACCTCCAAAGCACTTGCCAAATACAAATGATTACTAATGAGTAGTGCCACGCAGCATAGCTGTGGGTCAAGGGGATAAGCAAATCATCGCACGTCGCTACGGTCCAGTTTCATTACGATGGATCAACGAAATTAGTGGTATTCAGAGCATACTGCCGAGCCACCGAAGGTGAGAAGAATTTCAAAGGCACCGTAGCATACAATCGGTTCTCCCACCTAATACTTCACAGGTACGGGCGGGAAAACGCGATTTGTTTCTTAATAACTTCAGTTCGCAACAGTGAGATCTGTCCCATACTACAAGGCTGGCAGCATCGTTGCATGGTAAATCATTTCTCTAACCGATAAGCTTACCACATGCCTTCTCCATTAGTGATAAGCTTTGAAATACCGCATGTGTTCTGCTCATACACAAAATAACCTCAGTGAAACGATTAGTATGATTAACCAATGTGTCCCAAGTAAAATGGTAACTGGACCGGTTACCCTCTACTAATGGCTGCTTAATGATAGTGAGAATTCCTAGTGAGTCAAGCCTACTCTACAGCAACACCTAGCACTCTGAAAGTGCAAAGCACACGCCAAAGCGTAAAGTACCACGCGTCAGTCTATTCAGTAGCGATTGCATAGTTGCTAGGTTCGATCCAGAAAAGGCCACGGTGTCTGCGTAGCGCATGTTTGATAGTCGATAACCAGGGTTTTTATTTCAAGAGAAGTGCAAAGATATAATAAGGTAGAATGCGTGATTATTTCAACCACAGTCGAAGAGAAATAGAGACAGAGCAGCACTCTACTTGTGCAATGCGGTGCAGTAAGCCACCAACGCCGCGCTTCTTCTACTTATTACGGAGTACCTCATGGTTCACTTTGATGAACGCTTTACTGAAATCAACATAAGATTAGATACACCGACTTCCCTGGTTCAGTGTTTACAATCATTCATGCCGCGTCTACAGCAGCTTGATGGTACAGGAACGACCTATCAAGAAACCGCGCTGTGTAAACATCGGACTTTTCGACTCCATCAGCTGCAGTAGACCGTTGTTCACGATCTTCTCCAGTACTCTGGCCAAAAAAGGAGATCAGACAAATAGGTCGATAACTGTCCACCTTACTTCGGTTACTGTCTTTCGGAATCGGCTTCTGTACCGAACGCTTCCCCTTCGCTCGGCAATGTACCTCCGGAGGCAGCAAACTGTTGAACAGGCCAGTCACAGAGGGCGAGATAATGGCTGACAACATGCGAATCAACGAGTGGAGCCTATCGGGACCGACGGGCTTCGTAGCGTCAAAAATGGCAAGTAGCTTTCGGTTATCTTCCACATCACAACTCAGACTCTCGAGTTCAGCAGGGACTGCCCAGGTCGACCTCGATATAGGCGCATACCCACTTGCAAATAGAGAAGCGAAGTGCGTCGTCAACGTGGAATCACGGTCAGTGCTGGAAGTCAAAGGCTGTCCGTCAGAGCCCTCTAACACTGATGCGCAACCTGCGTCGTTTTACGTAAGCGAAAACTCTCTTGGGAGCCGTCTCTACTACAGTTACAGGATCCATATCAGACTAATGACGCTTCGGTTCTTTCGCACCACGTACTCGTCGGTAGAGGTAGACAGGGGGTATTTATTCCACAATACGCGTCGCTATCGAGCCAACTGACCATACGCTTTGTCGAACCAATGACTTCACTGGCTCAGCTTTCAGATAATTTAGGACTATAAAACAAACACACACAACGGTTCTACGTCTTTTACTATAGAGTAACAGGCCTCAAAAGACAAATCCGGCGACAGCAACCAGTCCGCTTAACTAAGGGCTAGAGTGAGACCATCGAAGTCAGTCTTCCAGTGGGTGTAGGATGGCTCAGGCGGATGCAGCGAAAGCTCATAGCTGGTCATGACCATGCTGCTTGAGGCTCCAGGACCAAAATATCACGCACACGCTGTTCGCAGCTAGTCAACATCAGGTCCAAACACAACGGATTTGAGTTCGGTGTAATGTGCGTAGGCTAGCAGATGTGTTGTGCTGCTCCCGTTTGAATATACCATACCCGCAAACTGTGCCTCCAGTTCACAACGCCCGGGGAGAAGTTAAACCCCAGGTCAGAGTATTTGAGGGAAGCTGAAATGACCCATGAACAGGAGGCGGGGACGATTCATGTGGTTTCGGAGATGTGGCAACAAATGCAAACAACGACTTAACAGAGTGTGTTAGGTTACACCAGCCACAAACAGTACGCCACGCCTCAGGTGGAATGAGTACCGCAATTGCCCGTACAGGCTATCTTCATCTTGGTATGTGGTTACCAGTCTCCCGCACAACGAGGACCGAATGTACAGCAGCATGCCACCGTGGTCGCTTGATAGTGTGTCGCCCTGGAAGCAGGAGTAGCCCCTGATTTGGATCTCTTAAACAGTTACGTCAGCAATCAACAAGGTCTCAACCAGTTCTAGTACGTCCGGTCAATCAGAGGCAACGAAGTGGTATAGATCATCACATTTGTTCACTAAATTGCAAGCATTGTGAAGGCAAAGCGCAGGCCATGTTAAGAATCATCAGGTGCACAAGAAGTGTTAGCAACCTGTTCGGCGAACCCCAGGAACAACCCAAAAATTTACGATGTGGAGATTAGTTTTCCCACTATCAGTGCACTACTTTAACACAATGATAGCGGACTTGAGTTTCTCCCGGTATGACCGAATATGAATCGCCCTAAGTCTTAGTCTACCGAAACGGGATACTATCAAGCGATGTGGCTCTTGGGAAACCAATCAGACAGGAGGAATATAGCTGCAAGACTGAAAACGATGCTCTAACTTGGTGTATGGTCGCACATCAGAATCTTTGGATGCGTGAGATGTCATGCATATTTGGGTTAGTAATCGCGAAATAGTGGATGATTTCAGTCCTCGAGATTTAGTACACATCAGCGATCGGGGCATCCAGTGTGCGTCCGACGGCTCAACAGTTGAACGCAGTCAGGAAAATCGGGTAGTGTATTGTGATATATGTTTATGTGGGTAATGTGGTGAACTGAATGCACAGGGGAAAAAGTTAAGTGAGACTGCAAATAGCGTTACGGTGTGCACCACACAAAGGAAGGTTTATAGTAAGGGTCGAAAGGAACACTAGAGAAGTATGTAAAAAAGGAATGGATGTATTACTAGTAATTCGTATTCAGTTAACTGCACTGCTGCATGCGCAGCCAAAGTATATCAGTCTAGATGAAAGTAACAATTTCGTAGACAAGCTGACGTACTAATTGTATTCAGCCCTATGCAGCTAAACAACCAAGATCCATGCACAGAGGTACCGTGAACTCAGCCGTCATGACTGAACAGTTATAAATAACGACAATCAAACTATTCTCCAAGTTTGCGTAGCCAAAGTACACCACAAGAAAGTGCGAACCGAAAGTCGTAAAGTTGTTCGCCAAAGCAGAACGACAAACAAAGCATGGTAAACGCGGATGTGCGTGACACTTACCTTGTTGGAACGGGTCTGTAGCTCCCACGCGATAACTTCAGAACGATTCCTGACACTGGAGTTTGTTGTGCTTTTCAGGACAATTTGCGTCCAACTGCGAAGTGTTAATGGGAGCTCGAGATTTACAAGGATTGCGTAACCCGATTGGATGAAGTCGAGTGTCGAATCGGTTTCCCAACTCAGGTCAGCAGATGGGATATGAAGGCGCCTGGGTAGAGTTCCTACGTCAGAAGCGCTCATGTCCGACGGAAGCCAACACCAACCATCGATGGCTTGCAATAGACCGTTTTCCGTTTCGGAAACGAAATTTACAAGATAATCGCCGGGCAAGATATCGGAAATTTCAAAGTAGCTGACGTCGGGATTCTCCTGGTGAACATGTGGGCGAGCAAAGTGAGCAGTAATGTTGGACCGGTAAAGAAAAATGTTGAGAATAGAGAACATGACATGTGAAAATCGACGAAGGTATGGGATGGACCAAGTTACGATGCGTAGTGCAAGCTGAGGAACCTGATAGGTAGCAAAATTGTGGTAGGCACACAACCGAGCTGAAAAGAATTTCGTTCTGTTGCCGTCAAGTTTCGTCATCAAAAGTAGTCCGGTAATTTGTGTAATAATGCAGCTACAGGATTGTAATGTGAAACATCACACGAACTAACAATTGGCTTCCTTGGATCGTAATGCGCAAGAACTTGGGTAGATGCCAAGGGTTTGTTAATCAAGTTAAAAGCACTTACCTGAACACTGTTCCAAATAAAAGTGGTGTAAATATTCAGCAGGAATGCGCGCAGCGATAAAGATGTCATTCAAATAGGCGCGTTATTTGGTGTCTCTCACCAATGAGTCATATGTTGGAAGACAGCTGGCACAGAGCTTACTCCAAAAGGCATGCGTATGTAACGAAATAACCAAGGTGTATGTTCCTGGTGATACAGCCACGTGATTCCTCATTGAGTTCAATCTACTGGTAGATGTAGCTCAGGTCGAGTTCGGTAAAAAGAAGTTCCCTACATGAGATAGAACCATAGGTATCTTCAATCTGGCAGCGAATATCGGTCTGGTTGTAATGTCTGGTTGACTGTAACCTTATAGCCCCACAAAGCTTTATGGCAAAATCGCTCTTCAATACATTCACCACAGTGGCACGACCGAGATTAAATCGAACTCGACAGCGTAGAACCCGCTGAGAGATGATAGCACAATTTGAACTTCAAACAAAAAGGTAGCCGGAGGTAAGTGGTTCGGGCCGAACCAGCGTCACTGTAGCGCGAAGTAGTTAAAATGCAGGTAATAAACTGAACTCCTCCGTCCAAAAAGCCACACAGCAGCGCGGAGCTGGACCCCACGCACTGACTCGATGATCAAAGGATTCACGTCAGTAGCAGCGCGTATTTGCTGAAATCGTCAATAGTGGTTGCTCTATCTCTAACTTCTTAGCCATATGAGTATACCAGGTTGCTTGTTAGTGCTAAGACGTCATTCTAGTTCGCGTCTGACAGCTGCTTTGATTGCATTGCACCCAATGTCAGAGGGAGTTCTTCACTAGAATTCAGACTGGTTCACTGGTAGTTGAATTATCTACTGTCCAATGCAGTGATGACTGATAATGCTATGAACACAGGCTCTCCAACTATCTATGGTAGCAGAAATCATACTCCACATAAATGCGTTGATGGGAAATATGAGCTACAGGGCATGCTGACAGGATCAAGTAACAATGGGCTGTAGTAGTTTATGGAACGAGCGCAAGTTGGTCGATTACGGTATATTACTAGGAGCAATGTTTTCGGACACGCTGTACACGTCGATTCCTGTAGTATCCAATGTGTGCGGATGAAACCTGTTGACCAGACTACCTTGTGGTGCTGCACTTAGCAGAACTTCAACGGCTGTCTCTGAAGCCTGTGGCCAGAGAAAGCTGGGAATGGCAAGGAGCAGAAGGGGTGGAAAAGAAAGAATAGAGATACTATGGCGAGCAGAAGGCAGTAATAGGCGGTATACTAGAGACGCAGCGAGCGCAGAACGATGGAAGGTAAGTAACTCGAACGGAAACGGTGAGGTAAGCTAAGACAATCTAGAGCGAATGCGAAGAAGAGCGACTAACAAAAGTAGGCGCACTGTACCAGTTCAGGATGACGCAGAATGCCCCCAGAACAGAAGGAAGTAACGATTATTTGTTTTCGCCTGCGGGATGTAGGCTGGTGCACAATGAGAATGCAGCCTATTGGAAAACGCATGGCCTCACGTACGGGTTGAGGAAAGCTCAGGGATGTCAAACCCAAAAAGAGACGCCTTTCTCACAAAAGACTAGTCGTAAGCCAGTGGGAATTTAGTAACAGGCACATTAGACAACTGAATGTTGCCCCAACAGAGCATGTAGAAACAGCAGAAGAAATGGAAGTAGACCCTATGCCTGTAGCATTACTGCATGGGGACCTCAGAGTATACTAGTGACTGCGGAACCTATCGGATAAGACGTACATACAACGTTAGCAGCGAGCACGCACTTGTTCATAAAATTTTGTGTCCCAAGTATTGAATATGACGATCCGATCTTCCTGCCAATCCCACATGGAATAGGACCATTAGTACTGTCCCTGTTATACTGGTGGTAAATTTGTATGTGTGTGTGTGTGTCAAAGTAACTGGTCCAACAAACATGGGGGCTAGAATCAAAGCGATCAAGTGAAAAAATGTCCGAGTTAGTGGACGAAACGCTGCCAAAATGGACTGAAGTACAACGTAAAGGGATAACAAAGTGAAGAACTACAATTCGAAGTGCATTGGCAAAATGAGTAAATGAGTGAAATAAAATAAAAATAAATAAATAAAACGTTGCAAATACCTTAAAAGTCGTCAGCCGAGAGTACAGGGAAGTCTCATGGTCTAAGCTCTTCAAGTGAACGCGCCAGGTCCGTTCCACATCGGAGTCAGAACAACTAACGGGCAGACGCACAACGCGACCACGAATTCGAGCGCGGAATTGAGTGAACACGACATTTGATACTGGCTTTCCCAACAAATCGACCTGTGTAATGAGGCAAAATTGAAAAAGGGTGTTATCTTCGTATTGCTAAAAGTGAGGGTTGGACAGATATGCATATCTTGTGATAACCAATGTGAGTGAATCCAATCAACCCAAAAAAGTTTACCTGCAGGACTGAAGGAGTGAGCAGCACTTGACGATCACTGGGGCCCCTAATATGAATTTCAGCTGCAAGTTGGTAACGTCCAGGAGCAAGGAAGATGCAGTACGGTAGCGTACTGTTTTGCGACACGATGGCTTCTCGGTGTACCTTCTTTGTAGCCACATTTGTAATCAGCAAAGCCACGTGGAGCTAGAAAAGAGCAATGGTGTAGTGGATGAACAATAAATGCGAAATCTTAAACATTTCACAGTTAAAATTTACTTGTGAGTGAGTCAGGTTCTCGGCGATGTTGACCATACCACATAGGGACAACTTGTGGGGTTGAAGATCCGGTAGCCGACTAGATAAATGAGAGAGTTGGAGGTGGTGTTCGCTGAATTCGGCACCGTGAGCCTCGACCTATAGTGATCGGACGGGAAGCAAACACAGGGGTTAAAACAATTGCGGAAGAAATCGAAATTCGCAACAAGTGGATAACCATGAAATATCGGAAAGATTACATATGGCAGTAGAAAATCAACGACTGTACAAGTCACTGTGTGAGATAGTCAGCTTGGTGGGCGCGGATAAGTTATCGAAGCCGGTCTCATGTCTGTGAATTGTGCAAACAGCGCGAGCACGATGGTTAGTAGCGCATCAGTAAAACGCAACGCTTGTATGGCTCATATCGGCTCGGGCAGAAAAACGTCGTACAACCAGTCCGTATGCTACTCGTAAAATATCGATCCAATCAATAAGTACCTATCGGCTAATGCAGCCAAAACCTGATCATAAGTATCACCCCAGGTACTTCAGTTGCTGCGCCAATGACAAACAAGGCATGTTTTATCTATAAATGACGCCACCCTAGAAACAAGACAATTTACACCTGATCACTTATCTCTATCTAGAAAACACTAATTGTACTGGTTACCAAAATACCGCTAGAAGACACTACTGCGTCAGACTAAAAAACTTTGATTGTTCGCCACAATCCTGGTCTACGTAGCAGTCGCAACAGCTACGTAAACAGTGCTGTTCACGCTTCGGTGTCACCTGTTCCCACACCGGTACGCCTCGAATATCCTATCCTTTTGGATGATGATCTGGACAAGCTCGTTATCACTAATAAAATAAATGTGTCAGCTGTATGCCGTAACGGCGCTTCGCTGCCGCGCGACCACCACCAGTCGCGCGCGGGCTGAGTATACCGCGAGGAAGCCGACACCTACGCGGATTCGAACCGGTGACCTTAGGGTTGCAAAGCAAACGTGCAGACCACTCAGCCACCGGCCGTTATCACTAGGGGCATTTATATGTGTAGCCTAGTCATAAACATGCTGAGATAGACACCTTACAAAGCGTGTTATGCCGTTTTACAGACCGAACTGGGAACTGTATGGTAATAGGGGGGGGAATTCAACATACTTGATCTGTCATGGCCTTCAAGCCACGTCCATAATAAATTTGAAATCTTCGTCCCCATTATGTAGGTATGTGGATGGAATCAGTATGCCATGTCTCCTAGAAATTCGAATTTGGTCATTACTATGGGCACACCAATAGCTCCTCACAACGTTCTGGAGTAACACCCAGGTAGTGAACACAGTGAGCTTCTCATACAATATTAACGCAAGACAAGAAACAGATTTTTCCAAAATGCAAGTGGTTCTCAGATCCGAAAGAAGTGCTTTTACTAGGGCCTTCATGCCACGCTGATTAGATGCACGCAAAGGAACACGTTCACTCACATTCGTAGCCAACAGTTTGCGACAGGCAAGCTTTGTAACAAAGTTGATCGCACTATAGATGTGTGAATTGCTGTCACGCAATACAAACCTAGCCATTAGTTGCAAAAACGCATGCAACGAATCAGTTGAAAAGCTCAAAATGCTACTCAAAGCTTGTTGTAAATCTAAAGAAATCTAGTAACATCTTCCTCAGCACAGTATCAGAAGTTAGCAGCGATCATAGACAGGACACATCAGGCTGTGCGAGTTGACAATGAAGTGCGAGTGTTCGGTATTCAGGATAGAAAAACAACGGTTACTCTGACAGCCAAGCGAAAAACTGTTCAGCGGAATCAACACATGAGTCCACTTTTACCAATAGATAATTGCAAATTGAGTGATCCGATTTAAAAAGCAGTGTGTTCACCAACTATGTCTGCGTCTTCTTCAACGAAGCTAGTGAATCCGATATTATGGGAATCTGCAACATCGCACGAATGCGTAACTCAACTTACGCCTAAATGGACTCAGTGACATACACAAATTGATAAAGTCCACTAAAGTTTAAGGAAATTGGGTGTTACCCGCCTCAAAAACACCGCACCCCATGGTCGCCTCGAAATTGTTTTCTCATAGCAGTTAGAGAAAGCGAGGGTCGAACCCGGGACCGTCACCTCTCAAGTAAACCAACGAGGCGGGAAACGCTTTTCATAACAGGTAATAACCCCTGATCATTCGCTAGTCCCTTATTCCGGCGGTCTAGATAATTTCTTATCTGCTGCCATAAAATTCGGTGGTTATGACATTCCTCTGCTACGGCTACTGCTACAACAACAACAACAACTACTACTACTACTAGTAGTATCACTACTAATACTACTACAGCAATCGTCATCCCGCTCGAAGTGCATAAAGCCTTTTGTAAACATCTTCTAGCCAAACTTCAGACGCACGTTATAGGGGACCAATCGTTGGCTTAGTTTGGATCGTACCGATCTGGTCGCTCACAGATGATACAAACAAGACAGCATCAATAGTAATCAAGGTTGTTACCAGTGGAATTATACAAGGCAGTATACTTGGTCCACTGATGTCTCTACTATACGTGAGCGAGATTTTCAGCAAAGTTAACTCCTGAACACCTTATCTTCTGGTCGATGACATTAAAATAGTTTAATCCTTATATCCTACCAGTCTCAATGATACTCTAATGAAAATCCAACCAGACCCCCTTCAATGCGCTTGGAACTTGCTCTACCGTGTGGAAAATGTCGTTCAATACTAACAAATGCAGCGTCAGGTCATGCAGGTGAAGTACTAACCACAATGCTACAACCGTCGATAACAAAATCACTTAATCGCTGTTAGTACAATTGTGACCTAAGGATTCGTTACTCATGCTCCTTTAATTTCCCCTCAATTTCTCTCTAGGGAATTTCATTCATCTGATGTATGAACTGTATATCTATTTGAATACTACTCGGCGTATACAGTAGTTTAAGGAAGAATGAACCCGGCCACGGAAAAGTGAAGTGAGCATTCACGAAGCGTCACAAATACCGGCCATGCCGACAAAAGGGTGTTACCAACACGATTCAAGCTCATAAAAATAAGTAGGTCATGAAAGAATGACCTAGCTGAAAGTTCTTGGACCCCAGCAACTACTAGACGCCCGAAAATGCGCTTCTTAGCTGCCCAAAGACTTGTGGACTTCAAGATAGATCATGCTCACTAGTAGAAGTTAAGGTGAAACATTTGTTGGCTAGTCAATTACTTTCAGACTGCGTAGGTCCAAAGTTCGCCTGACTGTTAGCGACAAGACCGGCTCAAAGTGTTGCTAATGGCGGGCTCCCATAAGAAACGTAATCCCAGTTCTAGGTTATTCAGTAACTATAGACCAAGCATGAGGCCCAGGTTGTATACAACCAAGGGTTACAAATGGTCAAATCAACCGAATCGAACAATCCGCTGTTCTTTGGTTTAGCCCTATTTCACTACACTCCCCAGTCTTACTTCAAAGGCCCACCGATGGCTAGTGAACTCAATGGCACATCCGTGGCCTCGGCATCCATGTTTGTTAGATTCGGTCCTTGATATGTGATTAAGATTGAACCGATCTCATCTTCTGTTAGCGCCAAATCCCAGCCAAAAATGGAAGTCAACGCCTGAAAGCAGAAGCACATTGCAGGAGCAGCTACCAAAAACAATTTCAAGTAGCGAAAAATTATAGAAATTTTAGGTCAACGCAGGAATGTTTACGTTTCGGAATAGCAACGCTAGCTGCAATATTCGTTAGTTCAGTTCCACCGGCATGTCATGCAATGGAAGCGAAGATTCTTGAAGACTACGTGTTTGGGCTGCATATCGAAGAGTAGTGAATGGCATGTGAAGCCTCCTGCCCATCACTGCTTCTGCAGAGGACACTTCGATCGGTATATGTGGGGACCGAAACAAGAATTCTGCCGATCATTTCCTATACACGTTCATCCCCTTTTGACTTGAGGAATGCGCGCTTGAACATATGCACGAGCCTCTCCGCCTGGCTATTCGATTGTGATGCAACGGTGGTGAGCGAATGTGTTAGACGGATCACTGTTTGCAGGGTTTCATGAAAGTCGCAGAAATAAACTGCTTGCCGTCGTCAGTTACAAGTATCTCTGGACACCCGAACCTGCTGAAGATTTGCCGCAGTCTTGATACAGTGAGATTGATTGTTGTACCATCCATCACAAGTGATCCAAGCCACTAGCTGTACCAGTTGATTATGATGTGGAAACTTCCGACGCTGATCGCTCCTGCGAAAGAGACATGGATACGGCACTATGATTTCGTACGTTGTAGCCATGAATGGAGCTCTACTTTTTGTCGTGTTTTCAGCAAGTTGGCACGGTGTTGGTAGCATTTGTCAGGTCTCTCCAGCTGTTTGTCAATAAAAGGCCAGTACACATAGCTGCGGGCAAACACCTTCATCCGGTTGATCCCAGGATGCTCAGCATGGATCTGCCGAAATGCACGCCCTTGTAGAGCTTTCTGGATGACAACCATTTCTGAAGACAGTATGCAGTCGTCCACAACGGAGAATGAATGCCTCATCTGGTAGTACTGCTGATGAACCGGCTGATGAACACGAAGGTGGTCAACCGGTTTTGTGGAACTGTGTGGCCTTCTTGCGTTCGATTGGCCCAAGGAAATCGCCGTTTGACAGTGAAAGTCAACCATAGCTCAGTAATCAGTGCCCAGCGTTGCAGGCTGTTGGCTGTATAAGCGGGGACGCCTTTCTTCGAGTCGAGGATACTGAGCAACGACTTGTAATGCGACAAAGGTTTGAAGCGGAGGTCATATAGCATGTTGGGAAAGTTTTTCACTGCAAAGATTGTGGTCAAGGTAACATTTTCGATTTGACTATATTTTCCTCCGTTTTTGTCAATATTCTGACCGCATGAGTGATCCCTTTCTGGGATCAATCCGGGTACATATGTGAGATAACTGTACTGATTCCACGAAGTGAGGCATCCATTGCAAGAATGACTTCCTGAGTTGGGTAATAATGACTTAGCAACAAGTCTGAGGTAAATAATGACTTGATTTCCTGGAAGACATTCCGGCACTCTTACATCCAGTCCGAAGCGTGGTCCTTAGCAAGCAGTTTGCTCAGTGGGGCCCGCAGGCGATGCATCTCGGAAGAATGTT